TATATTTCTTTATGCAACCCGAGAATAGTTTACACAATCATTAAAAACCTTACAGAGCCGGTAATAAATTTACAGACTGTTCTTTATGCAACTAATGACCTAACCTAACCGCCYTAAGTGTGTAGAATCTACCTCTCATGTTAATTTCATTATGACCGCTTCCATCGTTAAAAACCTTGAGGTATTCTATTCCTCCTTTCTTTTGAACAACACATTAACTTAACTATTAATAATAAAGCGTTAGAAGTGCTTGGGTTCTATAAACTGTTGCACCAAATGTTTCAAATCTACCCTTTGTCTCTATTCATTATATTTTTTGCTTGTTATACCCAGTCTCTAATTCAATATGATTGTTTGACACCCTTTCCCTGCAAATTAACAATTTCTTCTTGAAAGAGTACAGACAAAATACCTAGTTTTGTTTTTATCCCGTTAATAACTGCTTTTTGGAAACATTATAAATTGTAAAATAAATATATTAGGGAGATGTCAAAGTTCAAAAAGAAGCGGCTTGGGCCATAAACAATCTATTTAGTGGCGGTTCAGATGCTCAGAAATCTCATCTGATTGATGTTGGAATATTGGAACCTTATTGTGCTTTATTAATATCTCCAGATGATAGAATGGTAGAAATTATACTTGAAGGTCTTAATCAACTATTAGAAGTAAGATACAGTTTTTATTATATTTTGTCACATATTCTAACAGCAGTGTTTTTGTATGTAAGAAATCTGAATGCACCAGAGGCAAGCTTTGTATGTTAATTGAAGAAGCAAGTGGATTAGATCACTTAGAAGCATTGCAGAATCATTCTTCTCAAAAAATTTATGAGATGTCATTCAATATAGTAGAAAAATATTTTCAAGGAGAGGTTTGTTTATTATTAATTTTCCAAGCAGATTATTTCATCTGTTAACTAAAAATTCATGTTTTTAATTTATAATCAAGGATGAAACTCAAGAATTTGACTTGGGAATAATTCCACATGATATGAGTTCAGGCAATATGTTCAGCATTGATCATTGACGAGGAAAAATATATCTCATAAATAAA